CATATATATATATATATATATATATATACTTATATATACTTTTACTAAGTCCGCTTCCTTATTCTAACCTTAAAAGGGGGTCTGATCCTCTGAAATCCCCCCTAATTTGCACACTGTCTGTAAACAAACTACATAGGTGCTGTTTAAGTTTTAGAGGTTATGTATTTTGCCCTTACCCGCAGTTTTTAGATTTGACGGGTTCACGAAATATCATATTTCGCACACACCTCACGATATCCCGCACTGAAATGTTTAATGTATAAGCCAACATTATACTACACAGAGAGCGCACATTATAAATATGCATGTATTCAATTAAGGGTATTACACAGGATTTCATTTGCATAAGGATTTGGGAGCTTAACATGCCTTTTTATATTTGTGCAATAAAACTTTAATATTTTCGCCTGCCCTTCAATGCCGTGGGTACTTTTTATTAATAGTCTACTACATTACTATTAGCTACTAGCCTATAGGCTAGCCTACTACTATCATCACAGTTCAGATCAGCTTAATAGGCCCCAATGATTGCCAGGACTGTGGTAAATTAACTGTTATATTTGTCACTCTACATAAACAGTAGCTGCACCTGTTCCTCTCGTGACAGCTCATAGTGTGTATTTTTGGAACGTATGGCATTCCATTATTTTTCATTGAGTGAGTAGCCTAAATATTTGGATCAGTGGACAAATGTGTGGCTTTTTTCAGTCAAGTGTTTGTTCTAGGGTTTCCCCCAGATTCCCACAATTGGACGTTATTGCACACTTACTGCAAAAACGAGTTAGCATGCAGCGTCCTGCTGTTTTCTCTTGCATGTCCGTCTCGCTGACCGTCTTTTTTCCTTCTTATTACTGTGACTGTGTGATACAGAAAAAGTCACATGAAAATAAGAATATTTTGGACAATGTCACTCAGCTCAGATTAGAAAATGATGGGTTAAATTCCTTGGTGTAATTTTCCTCTTAAAGCGTTTGAATGGCCCGTATGTTTGAGACAAACCAGCAGGGACTTTTCTTTATCCAGTGAGCTGAACCTATAGCCTTCAAGTGCATCATATAGCTAATGACGATCGATTACATCACATCATTTACAATTTATGAGCCACATACAATAAACGGCCAATTTTAAAGAATGTTTATTAGTTCACAGCACTGAATTAAAATACACAGTTCACTACGGTTACACTTCCCAGCAATGTATGTGAAGCTCATTGTGTTGTCAAAAAGCCAGGTGTTTGTTTATAAGACACAAGCTGATATTGTGTCAGAGTTAATGCCAGCCTTAATCTGTTGTGCTGCTTGGAAACACGCTTACATTCAGGTTGTCCTATTGGAGGGTGCAGAAGCTTTTTGAAGAATAAACAAGAACCAATGACAATTTTTTGAGCAACTAACGAGCTCTTCCCGCAGCTTCTTGAAATAAGGATTTTGGTTTTAACACGGCGTACAAGAACGTTGTTTATGAACTGTAATTAAACCCAAACACATTTCAAACAGATTTGGCAGAAATTTCATAAAGAGAGTAAATATTAAACCTAATATAGTGTAAAACAATGTCTAAGCATTTTTATAATTTTTGCGCCATGTACATTATTTCAAAACTTTTGCACAAAATGTGAAATATTTTTGCACTACTTAGGCTATTATTTTGTGCATGCTAAAATGTTTCGTGTTCAGTGGGCTATAATGCAAATGGAAGGCGAAAGCAAATACACTAACAAAGTTTGAATGAGCAGTATTTGTTATTAAAGCGCTTATTCAGCAAAACAGGTTTTTAATTAGGTTAAAGCACTGCTGTGATTATAGTGAAGCATATGGACTTCACAGTACAACATATAAAAGCATTACAAAATATAAATCCATTTCTTTGCGGATCATCATTGCTATATTAACTCTTTCAAACAGTGGCACTCAAAAATCAATTGATTTTTGCGTCGAGCTATCATACCTATTTTGTTAAAACACGAGTCACGTGGGGGCTGTATGAATTTGTCTCCCACTGGTTTGTTCCTGAGGTCCGCTGCTCTCTAGGGCTCGAAATTAATACTGTCTCGCCAATTAAGTTCAGAGCGCCAATTAAGAGTGCATTATGAATTTTTAGAGTAAAAACAAAACTAAAAAAATTAAATGAGCAACTGAAAACGCCACCGCAAAAATCAGTGCAAAAACATTTAAATAGAAAAATGGACTAAAATGTAAAAAGAAAATAATTATGTTATATGCTAAATTTAATCTCTTCTGTGCTTCTGTCCGTTTTTCTAACCCTTAAGTCACTGCGTGGACATCAGAGAAGTGTCTCTCTTTGCGCTGTTAGAATCATCTGTCGGTATTTTTTCAGCCCAGCTTTCACTGTTCTCTCTGGATAAATGATTAACGATCACCGGGAGTGGGTCAGTGTTGCTCTATTCGTTCGTAGTGAAAGCCCCAAATCTCAGCACAGAAATATCAGTGGTTTGATCAGAGCTAGATAGAATTATCACGGGGAGAGATACAAAGGCGGCAGACAAAACGCGCTCGCTTTCCCTGGTGTTTGAGTACAAACCATATTAAACACCGAGCTCCAGTTATTAGATCTGACTGAAACAGCACTGAGGAATATAAAGCAGACGTTTATGAAATCAGAGACGCTGTTTGACAAACCAAACAGGGTGGCATGAAAACCACAGTGAACTAAACTGATAAATAATTGTGTAAAAGGGGAAATAGCCTAGGCTATAAAAAATTTACGAGTCATACTGTGACTTTCAAATGGTCGACTTTTTAAAGGGAATTTTAAATTATTAAATATATTAACTGTAAAGGTAGTTTTCAGGGCATAATGTCGTCTCACGCAATGCAAATTGTAATTTGGCGTGTAACTAACTAGCTAAACGTCAATTATTTATTTATTTATAAACAAAACACAAACGTTTTTTTTCTAAAATACTTACTAAAACTATTATTATCTTTATTATGTAAATCTAATTCTACAATAAAGTGACAAAAAAAGTCATGCTTACGCAAATTGATCCTATTGGAAAGCGCGTGCGCAGTGTAGCCTACTGTTGCTATGATGATCTCCCTCTAGCGAAAACGCAACCTCTTGCGAATTTCGCGACAGGTGAAAATCGCTATGCGCTCTGACTAACTTGTAGTCGTACTTGTAGCGTTAATGAAACGTTTGAAACCCCCTATTGAAACATACAAATGGCTATTTGTTTGCATTTAAAAAAAATGTTTTCTTTTACTAAGACGCCCCCTTTCCTTATTCAAACCTTAAAAGGGGTCTGCTCCTCCGAAATCCCCTATAATTCGCACACTGTCTGTAAGCAAACTACATATATGCTCAGAAGTGTAGATGCAGTTTAAGTGTTAGAGGTTATGTGCTTTGTCCTTAACCGCAGTTTTTAGATTTGACGGAATCACGATATTTCGCACACGCCTCACGATATCACGCACTGAAATGTTTAATGTATAAGCCAACATTAGTAGCCTATACTAGACAGAGAGCGCACATTATAAATATGCATGTATTCAATTAAGGGTATTACACTGGATTTCATTTGCATAAGGATTTTGGAGCTTAACATGCCTTTTCATATTTGTGCAATACAACTTTAATATTAACGCCTGCCCTTCCATGCCGTGGGTACTTTGATTAATAGTCTATCTGTCTACATTACTATTACTATAGCTACTACTATCATCACAGTTCAGATCAGCTTAATAGGCCCCAATGATTGCCAGGACTGTGGTAAATTAACTGTTATATTTGTCACTCTACATAAACAGTAGCTGCACCTGTTCCTCTCGTGACAGCTCATAGTGTGTATTTTTGGAACGTATGGCATTCCATTATTTTTCATTGAGTGAGTAGCCTAAATATTTGGATCAGTGGACAAATGTGTGGCTTTTTTCAGTCAAGTGTTTGTTCTAGGGTTTCCCCCAGATTCCCACAATTGGACGTTATTGCACACTTACTGCAAAAACGAGTTAGCATGCAGCGTCCTGCTGTTTTCTCTTGCATGTCCGTCTCGCTGACCGTCTTTTTTCCTTCTTATTACTGTGACTGTGTGATACAGAAAAAGTCACATGAAAATAAGAATATTTTGGACAATGTCACTCAGCTCAGATTAGAAAATGATGGGTTAAATTCCTTGGTGTAATTTTCCTCTTAAAGCGTTTGAATGGCCCGTATGTTTGAGACAAACCAGCAGGGACTTTTCTTTATCCAGTGAGCTGAACCTATAGCCTTCAAGTGCATCATATAGCTAATGACGATCGATTACATCACATCATTTACAATTTATGAGCCACATACAATAAACGGCCAATTTTAAAGAATGTTTATTAGTTCACAGCACTGAATTAAAATACACAGTTCACTACGGTTACACTTCCCAGCAATGTATGTGAAGCTCATTGTGTTGTCAAAAAGCCAGGTGTTTGTTTATAAGACACAAGCTGATATTGTGTCAGAGTTAATGCCAGCCTTAATCTGTTGTGCTGCTTGGAAACACGCTTACATTCAGGTTGTCCTATTGGAGGGTGCAGAAGCTTTTTGAAGAATAAACAAGAACCAATGACAATTTTTTGAGCAACTAACGAGCTCTTCCCGCAGCTTCTTGAAATAAGGATTTTGGTTTTAACACGGCGTACAAGAACGTTGTTTATGAACTGTAATTAAACCCAAACACATTTCAAACAGATTTGGCAGAAATTTCACAAAGAGAGTAAATATTAAACCTAATATAGTGTAAAACAATGTCTAAGCATTTTTATAATTTTTGCGCCATGTACATTATTTCAAAACTTTTGCACAAAATGTGAAATATTTTTGCACTACTTAGGCTATTATTTTGTGCATGCTAAAATGTTTCGTGTTCAGTGGGCTATAATGCAAATGGAAGGCGAAAGCAAATACACTAACAAAGTTTGAATGAGCAGTATTTGTTATTAAAGCGCTTATTCAGCAAAACAGGTTTTTAATTAGGTTAAAGCACTGCTGTGATTATAGTGAAGCATATGGACTTCACAGTACAACATATAAAAGCATTACAAAATATAAATCCATTTCTTTGCGGATCATCATTGCTATATTAACTCTTTCAAACAGTGGCACTCAAAAATCAATTGATTTTTGCGTCGAGCTATCATACCTATTTTGTTAAAACACGAGTCACGTGGGGGCTGTATGAATTTGTCTCCCACTGGTTTGTTCCTGAGGTCCGCTGCTCTCTAGGGCTCGAAATTAATACTGTCTCGCCAATTAAGTTCAGAGCGCCAATTAAGAGTGCATTATGAATTTTTAGAGTAAAAACAAAACTAAAAAAATTAAATGAGCAACTGAAAACGCCACCGCAAAAATCAGTGCAAAAACATTTAAATAGAAAAATGGACTAAAATGTAAAAAGAAAATAATTATGTTATATGCTAAATTTAATCTCTTCTGTGCTTCTGTCCGTTTTTCTAACCCTTAAGTCACTGCGTGGACATCAGAGAAGTGTCTCTCTTTGCGCTGTTAGAATCATCGCCTATTATACCGGATGGACTGAATGAGTAAAACAAATATATGGCCTTTTGGGATTTGGAACCAGTGCTTCACAGCAGTCCATATGAGGTACAAAAGAGGACGGCCATTAATAATGGATGATCCGAGATATTCATTGTGAGTGTTTTCCTTAGCTTTCCAAACACTCACATCATTGAGATTTATATATATATATATATATATATATATATATATAATATTATTAATGAAAGCTTATTTTGGGGAAAATATAATGCTCCCAGAATGACATTAAAAATTTAGAAAATATTACGAGGAACACTAAAATATGTGAAAAATATAAATGTGAAGAAAACCACGCACATGAAAGAGATTATTAGTATTGCATCTTCCCAACGTTTGGTAGAACAATACAATATAGAGGTTTTTAAAAAAGCAGGTTAGAGTGATGAAACAGCCGAATTGACTGTGACACTGACGTTAATTGGACTTCTCACAGATACTCTGAGTTGTACACTCAATGCTGTCAGTAGGAAGAGACTATTCCGTTCTTCTGGATCCTTTTGTTTAAAGCAGTCACGGGGAAGTCTCCGGGGCCGGTGCTCTAAAACACCGAGGCGGTTTGTCTAGTGAAGCAGATCAACCCGAAAACCAATACGTTTGAGCTAATGCTAAACAAAAGATAAATTATTATTTTTACATTAATCACTGCATGGCATGAGACATCGACTTACAGTTCCATATTAAAGAATAGGCTTATGGAATTAATGAAATCACAAATCGGAGCGATTCACTTTTCACTTCAGACGAAGACGCGAAATGTCCAGTTCGCGAAAGTTTAAGTTTATATCTCACTGCAAGTCGCTCATATCAAGTCCGATGCTCACTAAATCTAATTACTTAAGCTTTCCAGCGCATTAAACTTGTCTATAAAAAAAGAATATCGAAAAAATGTCTTTTCAGAAAGTCTTTAGTTACCATCAAATTTCGGTCCAGCTGACATTCAAATCCCTGCAACAATTCGATACAGTGCGTGTATCAAGAATTCGAACAGCCAATAATCACGAACGAAACGGCGTGACGTCAAAGTCCCGGTAGAAAAGGCGCGTTGGGTTTGCTCACGTTCGGAGAGGGAAGAGCGCAGGGAACCTCACTGTCTTCACTGGATTATACAAACCAAAAGTGTCCTCAACTCCTCCTCCTTCTCAGTTGCTTACATGCTGATCCTACTGCATGCGGGACGAACAACAACAGCTAGTGCTGTATATGACAGGACAACCACCTCATTTGTTAGAACAAACCTTTGAGTTGATTTTTACCCAAGCTGAAGCCTACTGAAATTGGACATTTTTGGTGTGCGTGTGATGACAAACTGTCGTGGAGGAGGTGAAGAGACGTGGATGAAGATATAACCACTTGCAGAATCTGAATCGTCATTGTAGTCGTTCCTCCCAGGCATTTCGGGATTATATATTTTTTATTCTTCGGCGATGCAATAACGGATTTGTGTGTGTGTGTGTGTGTGTGTGTGTAATGACCGGCGGCAGTCATGCTCCAAAACTGATTTCTGAAAAGACAAGAAAGAAAAACTGAACTCTTACACTGACAAATGCATGTCCAAAATGTGGTAACTGAAAGTTACTCGCGAAGAAATAGGAGGGTCCAGTGTCACACATGTAGAGGGGCTTCAGTAGCTGGTATGTCCTCAAAGCTCCGGAATGCTCTCATAGGCTAAACCGATCTGGCTGCATGTTTTGCGATCTCACACTTCGATGCATTTAAAAGAATCCATCAGAATACGGAGTTGACATTTCTGATAAACGAACACCGTTTAGACCGATCAGATCCTCCAAACGGGAATTATTTGATGAGAGCGAGAGAGGCCATATGAACTGCACAGGGCTAGAAGTGCGTCTCACGGAAATCTTGGGTTGCAGATCTGACGGAAACACGTGCTATTCGGTCTCATCTGCGGCAACGATGCTTTTCCACGGTCTGCCTGGAGGCGAGATGCATGGTGTTATGGAAGAAATGGAGCGGAGAGGAAAGAGCGATTCGGCGACTATCAGCTCGGCCATAGATATGGGGGAAACAGAGACGGTAGGAGAAAGCCATGCCTCTCGCTCCAGGCGCTTGCTTGGAAATCCTAACAGCCTATGATAACTGAACCGTTATTCCAACAGTGCAATAGAGGCCCAAAGATGTGATTCCGATCTTGGCCATTTAAACAAACTTCAAACTTCTGCAAAGCCAAAACCACAGGCCTCGTCTTCAATGCATTACTTGTAAACCTTTTGTCACGAGTGGAATGCAAATCGTTACAGAAAGCTACGAGAAACGGTATCAATTTTAAATGGCCTGTAGTCCAATTTAATTTCTACTGTAAAAGTGTGGTTGTTCGATAAAGTGGTGAAATAATAAGCAATTAGCGAGCAAGAAAATCCAGATTCGGTTACATATACTGATATACTTAAAAGAAATTCTCATTATTTTACAAACGCTTACGCACTTTAAGTGACGCAAAAATATTATTTTCTTTTTTCATAATATACGAGTGATATAATTACGATTAAAAACATTAGCAGATGTTGTGATCCAACTAAAATATATTGGCATTGTTTTGGCCCATAATATCTGTGATTAACAACAGCAACAAAAAAAAAGACAATGCAGAACCTTACGTTAAATCCATTACCATTACAATATTTTTTGAGCAATAATGCACGCTTAAAACTGTTTTGACATTTTTAACACTGCATCTCAAAACTTACACGATGACAAATCCAAAATTACAAATAAAGAAATGCTAAAGAATAAAACAATATTTTATTCTTACACAAGTGTGTGTGTGTGTGTAGAAGCCTACATATATCACGAGTGTGTTTGCTGTGTGTATCTAAGGCCACACAACACGCCGAACGTAAACACAATAAACCAAGCTCAGCCTTTGATTAATTTGCTTATATATGTATCACAACTGTGCCTTTGTTAAAGCAAAAAACGACGTGAATGGAGGCATGCATAATATAATCTTTTCTTGTGGTTATTTTCGTATTATTCGTGGCATTCCGTTGTCACGGGAAATATTAAATACAAATCAGAGTACACTCACTCACTGAATACACTTCTATATTTATCTTCTCAATCTCACGCCCCTCCCATTCTCTACAGAAGCGAAAACTAGTAATGTCTGATTTTTTTGGACATTTTTCATCAGCAAATGCGTAAAATAGTGTTTTCACTAATTACTGAACCCAGACACTTTAAACACGCGTTGTGTATTTTATGGGTTACTAATCTGCCATTAGAAATATTCATTTGTATAACACTGCAGATAATGGTGTAGATATAGAGTATGTGAATGAAACTGGGCTTTGAGTTCCTGTCTTTAATGAGCGCGCTGTTCGCCTGTGTTTGTGCAGAACATGCCTTCGATCAGCGGGGAGCGGGGGGCTCTGTGCGCGGGCTGCGGAGGGAAGATCTCTGACCGCTATTACCTGCTCGCCGTGGACAAGCAGTGGCACATGCGCTGTCTGAAGTGCTGCGAGTGTAAACTCAACCTGGAGTCTGGATTTCGCTTAAACAATACTGTTAGCTGCCACTATTTTGAACAATAAAGTACGACTTTTATAAACATGATTGTATTTTTATTTAATTGAAAGTACACATGCAATAAATAAACTGTTTTCTAACAGGGAAAAAAAGCGAAAATAAAGCTGTAAAAATGCGGGAAACATTTAAAAAATCCATTTGAGTGCAGTCCTGACTAACCAATTAACTTTTTTTTTTTTTGTAAATAATATTTAATTGTTTGAATAATATTTCAATATTTAATTTCTTTTTATACATTCAAAATAATTTTACATTCCAATTCGTTTGAAACATCTAAAGTTCATAAAGCATAGCATAGGCGATGATAGTTTTGTAAAAGAGCGCAATTCTTTACTATATCATAATAGCTACTGTATTAAACATTTCGTATTTATAAAATTGTTAAAAAATATATTTCTTCCAAAAAACGAGAGACATGCGTTCACTTCTTTAGACTAGGAAAAAGACAAAAATCCGCCACTTTAAAAAAAAAGACAATCGACACACATCACAGATTTCTACTAAAGCACTTGAGCTTGTGCTGAACAATTTGGAACAACGTGACTTGTTCGCTCGGGTATTTCGGGCCCCTCAACGGGGCATTTTGGGCCCCTGCTTGAGGACCAAACAGAGGAATGATGACGACTACAGAGACTGACAAGTGGAAAATGGCTTAGATGCTAGTCGAGACCTCCGGAAGATTAAACACAAGTGAAAGAAAGAAAGAAAGAAAGAAAGGGAAAAACTTAAGCTTTTCCAGGCAAATTCAGACGAATTAATTTACTATGCTTTTTGCTCTAAAAAAAGATGTTATGCATTCGTCCAAACAAAGCATATTAGCCTATTGGGTAAAAAAAACTACTTTTTAATCAAATAAGATGATATAATCTACGAACTTCACGAATATTCATCATTTTCTTTGGTGCCTGGATTTAATTTCAGATAAACTGAGCGAAAGCGAAATTAATAAATAAAATGTTTTTCTAAAAAAAGACTTTTATAGTTAAGACTATAACTATAAAATACAAGTTTATCACGAGTTTTTATTATATCTCCAAGCTATATTTCCACTGTAAAATGTGTAAATACGATGCTTTTTTATCACTTTAAACTCAGAATGTTTGGTTGCTTTGTAAATCTTGTTGTCTTGGGATCGTTAATTGAAGTTGGCAAATTGATCACAACAATTGCGGTCTTGTTTGGTGGACTAACCGGCTTCTGAAGAACTGTTCAATTTACATGGACTTAAAATGGAAAATAGAAACGTTTTGAAATCAGATCAACCGTTTGACAAAAACACGAGTCAACTAGAGCGAGTGAACTTTGGTGTTTCTCTGCTCTCTGAGAGTCAGACACAGTCAGATCATTGCTGCCCCCATCAGCTCACACTTTAAACAACAGCACGAACACAACAGCGAGATCAAAACCTGAAAAACAAGAACAATAAAGACACAGTTCATCATTGCAATACTACAGTAACCATGTGCACATAAATAATTCTGTGTTCAGTGAAGATAACTGCTCTTGACGGGCATCACTGTAGTAAAGGTAACAGTATTTCTCAATGGCCATATTTATATCAGGAGGAAACATTTGTTCACCATGTGCAGCGTTGTAAAGCATTCAAGGTTAATTATCTGAAGTGTTGATCAGACCATTTTCAATGACTAATATTTGTAGTTGTCAGAGAAAACATAATTCTGAACTGTCATGCGTCTAGCAACACATACACTTCTGCCAAGAATTTGGAACTGGCGCAAACATATTTCTGACACATTCAGACAGGCCTATCTCCTAAACACTTGTGTTCAAGACAGATAGTGTGGGCTTTTCACAACCAAATCCTACACAAGACACCATACAAACAGAAACGAAGATATGGCCATATGTGGGGGGTGGGGTTGCTGTAAAAACGGGTAAAACCACTCAGATTTGAAAAATGAAATAAAAGTCATGATGCAGACTTGCATGCTTTCAAAACACGTCTATTGCATTTAGAATCAAATTGTTTTTTTAAAAAGACCAAAAGAGCATGATGTAAGACTACAGCATAATGCAGATTATTATGCATGCAGTAAGTTGCAAACACAGCAACATGATGGTGCTGTGGCTCCTTTGAGTAGTCAAATCCAAGACTAAACACAATGTTGGAGGGCAATCAAAGAAACGAAAGAATCTGAGAGGCACGTCCTCATTCTCATCACAGCATCTGATCGTTCTGTCATTGCATCTCATGTATTTATTGTCGAGTTTCAGCTTTCTGCATTTATTCAACTGCAGTGCTACACTATACAAGTTTAGCATTAGGGAAAACGTCATTTGCATGTGTAGTTTTAAGCTTTTGAAATGTATGCACTCATTTTGGGATCAATAACAGCAACACAGCTAATACATTTTGCGTTTTTGGATTTAGCATTGAGCTGCAACGAAAATGATGGCGATCCAATGGACAGAGACTCGCAGTACAGCACCAGCCAGAAGACCAAGCGCATGAGAACGTCATTTAAACACCATCAGCTGAGGACCATGAAGTCGTATTTTGCCATCAACCACAATCCTGACGCCAAGGACCTGAAACAGCTGGCCCAGAAAACAGGCCTCACCAAGCGTGTTCTACAGGTCAGAAAACTCGCTTCATTTAGACTAATCGTTTTCGCTCTATGCAAGTCATTTTAGCTTTGAGATTTTAGCATACTGACCGTGAAAGCCTTTAGTTTTTTTATATTAGTCAAATTTGTTTGTATAGCACCTTTCACAATACACATTGTTTCAGAGCAGGTTTACAGAAAATCACGATGATGACGTTTATAATATCTTCATGCATTACAGTTGCATTTAGCAGATTAGAGCTGGACAATAATAGAGTTACATTTTGCGACAATACAAGCAATCAAGCAGATAAGATTTGCTATATACTGTATATAATGCATGTATGCAGATAAAGTAGGACATATTTGTATATTTAACGGAACTAAGTGATATTATAGTTACATTTTGAGACAATAATATTCAAGCAGTAGGGATTTGCTAAATTGTATATATCGCTTTAGGTGAGTGTACTGTATGTATGCAAATAAAGTTGAACTTAATATAATATGTGACCCTAGACCACAAAACCAGGCATAAGGGTCCATTTTTCGAAATTGAGATTTATACATCATCTGAAAGCTGAATAAATACGCTTTCCATTGATGTATGGTTTGTTAGGATAGGACAATATTTGGCCGAGATACAACTATTTGAATATCTGGAATCTGAGGGTGCAAAAAAAATTATTTTTGGCTATTGCTACAAATATACCCCAGCGACTTAAGACTGGTTTTGTGGTCCAGGGTCACATATAACCGTGGTCACAGTAAACTCTAACCATCTTAATGTATCCAAGACAGCAGTGAAAAACCACTTACCTGCCTGTCAATCACTGCACATAAAGGTGAGTGTACTGTATGTATGCAAATAAAGTTGAACTTAATATAATATGTGACCCTAGACCACAAAACCAGGCATAAGGGTCCATTTTTCGAAATTGAGATTTATACATCATCTGAAAGCTGAATAAATACGCTTTCCATTGATGTATGGTTTGTTAGGATAGGACAATATTTGGCCGAGATACAACTATTTGAATATCTGGAATCTGAGGGTGCAAAAAAAATTATTTTTGGCTATTGCTACAAATATACCCCAGCGACTTAAGACTGGTTTTGTGGTCCAGGGTCACATATAACCCAATATACATATTAAGTAAAACATTGTCAAAAACAGCACATTCCTTCACATCAGCAACAAATTAGGCTGATTAAAAAACGACTTGAGGAATGAATCAAATGTAATTCACAAGCCTGGTCTCCTCAATGGAATGCTATTAATTTGTTCCTGAAAGAGAGAAATCTGAATTAATTACATGCACAAATAAAACACAAGGTGTTAGAGTATGTCTGGAAATAAAAGAAACAGCTGTTTGTCATATCACTGAAACCAGAAAAAAAAAAACGAAACGCAGTTGCTGTGGCAAAACATCCAGGGGACAAACGGAAAGTAAAAATCTGAGATATTCAAGTAAAAATAAAATCTCAAAGCGCTAATTGTCATTGGCCGTCATTCGGCTTTGATGAGACGAACGTTCTTCCTCTGAGCATCGCATGGTTTTCTCGTCTGTGGTTTTTTTCTAACATCTGGCGTCTCGGTTCGCAGGTCTGGTTTCAAAACGCTCGGGCCAAGTTCAGACGAAACCTCCTGCGCCAGGATAACACGGGTGTGGACAAGGCCTTGGATGGGTCGACCCTGCCTGGAGGAACGCCGTCCGGACCGGCCTCGGAGATTTCCAACGCCTCCATGAGCCCATCCAGCACTCCAACGACCCTCACAGACCTGACCAACCCCACAATGCCCACTGTCACCTCCGTACTGACCTCCGTCCCGGGCAGCCTGGACGTTCACGAATGCCGGAGTCCATCGCAGAGCACCTTAACCAGCCTCTTCTGATGCTCAGATTACTCAGCACCTTCATCTGCTTCCTCTATTTGTGGAGCCACCTAAATCAGAAATCAAGCATGAGCATCGCTGACCATGCTAGTCGTTCACAAACTACATCTGTCTGAAACGTAAACCGATCTACCTGGGCATTTTTGTACAGGCCAGGAACTTTACAAATGTGGCCAATCCAATTCAAAAGACTATAAAGAACGAGACGTGAAAGAGAAACTCTTTGTTTAAAGTATTGCATTTTGGGGCAGACTCAAGTTTCACTGAAGGATCTGTTGATAAGAGAGTGATTTGCATTTTATTTTCTGTTTTTTTTTTTTTCATGTTTTCCCCCAACCATGCTTACAGAGAGAGACAGAGCTGGGAAATGCATTTGTTCGTCAGCCTCTTATTTATGTTCACGCGTCACTGAAGCCCCTTTAGCAACGCTAAACAAACTACATCAGAAAATGTGTACTTTCATTTGTTGGATGATGAAAATGGTTGAGTAAATCACATGTGCACAAACACACACACACGATGAAGAGCTGATCATTTACTCTCATTCCAACATATTACCTCACTCAGAAATCACTGGATATGATAGCAGTATATTATGAAACCTGAGAACACGTTTCATGCACTGGGAGAGAAAACGGCTGTGGAGAGTTTGTGCAAAGAAAAACCTTGATCGGAGGAGCGCATCACAAACAAACACTGATTTATGGAATGAAACACTTTTTTTTTGTTCCTCATTCAGTTAGGTGATTTTTTTTTCTCAACCATTAAGATGTGACAGTGTTGGAGACAGGGTAAATGTTTCCATGGTAACCAGAGGCTGCTTGTTGAAATGCTGTACAGTTTTGACAGATTATTGAGACATTTCGAGTCCACTCCCTGCAGTATCCCCTTTGATGTAAATCTTCAGTTCTGTAAAAAATATTAAAAAAAGAATCACTATTTTTTTTTTTTGTGGGCCTCATTATTTCACCAGTTTCAAAGCATTTTACATAACAGCAATGCAAACAGCTTTAACACAAATCTAGAGCTTAAAGACAAAAACACATTCTAACTGGACATTAATACATTAAGATGATGCTAGTTGTCATGGTAATTTATAACGGAGAATCCCAAAACCAAATGCAGTTTGGTGCGATTTGTTAATACACATCTTGTCACACACACTACATGGTTGGATTTAAATTAAATAAAGAAATAAATCCAGGTTGTTGTCATTATGTAAATTAGATACTATTTATAAAATATGTAAAATAATTAAATAACATACAATTATAATACTACACACACACACACACACACACACACACACACATTAATGTTAAGTGATATTACAAACATAATATATCAGTGTTATCCCCATAATGAATTTCACATAATCAAAAATGAATCATATGTATTTTAAGAGATTATAATGCATTTTACAATGCATGTTTTGCAAAAACATGTTCAAATGTGAAACACCGTTGTCTTTCAGACTGTATTTTGCAGTGTTCAATTAAATTCTTTCTAATTGTTTCAAAACAAAATAAAATAAGATAAAAAATAAAAAACCTTCTCAGATTAAGGCAAATTAATCCTCAAAAAAAAGAAAAGAAATAACTAACACAACCAACCGAAACCACATTTCTTTCTAAGCTATGGTTTTGGCAGCTTTATGATCAGAGAGAAACCACGCTGAAACCAAGTTCCTCTGGGTCCTGTAATCAGAACCGTATTTGGCTTAATTACAGGAAAAACTGAGATAATAGGAAAATAGCTTTGATTAATTATTATAGAGCAACCTTAACAATCTTCTATACATTAAAACTGAGAAAATAAAAATAACACATTTAATGAATTTCTATGTATTAAATGACAGGAAATGCACAGAAATGCTAATGCTTTTATATGTTCTGTTCTTGGGTTGTTGGTTTTGTTTTGTCAGTGTCCTTGTACACCGTTTGTGTGTTATTTCTGAGCCGAAAACCTCTAGTGACTATTAGAGTACAAAACCTGCACTGGAATTTATTATGATAATTATTTTTAAACGGTTGAACGGTGGAGCATTTGGAATGCGAGTTTATTACAGCCCATGTGAAATATATGGTCACCCAGTCATCGTACCTGCATGTTTTGCCAGTGGCGCAAAAACGGGGTATGCAGTATATGCTGTGCATAGGGGCGCCGAACAGAGGGGGGGGGGGCCCTTTTGCCGAAATCATTCTGTGATAAAATGTTGTAAATAATAAAAAGCTTATAATGTAATGAAACATTTCTATTTAACGGTTTTTAGCATTTTTAATGAGTTCAAAATGTATAATAAACTGAGTAGGCCTACATATCAACCGCTCACCCTTCGACACATTACTGGTGCAGAAACGCTCTGGGCGCAGAACAGAAAAGACAAAGCGGAAAAAGAACAATTCATTAAAATAAGGACAGCAATATCCAAGTGAACTAACAGAAATTGGTAAGCTTACTCTATAAAGGCATTCAACATTTAACGTTTTTGCCTAAGAGACCAAAGTGATTAACGTTAATATAAGTTAATTTCTGAGTATCTCTCAAAAAATAAAAAAGTCACGATGTTTGTGAACGCACAAAAAGCCACACGACGAAGGCTTTAATGAAGAGAGAGCCTGCTATTTAAAACTCACTACAGCTTTTTGGAAATAGTTGGTCCAATAAAGTTTAATATGGAATATTATTACCTAATTTCTGACTCTGCAGAATCTGAGGATCATCGCATCGGTTTGGATGTGTGTGACGCGTGCTATGTAGCAAAGTCCATGCAAAGTGTCTGTGGTTTTTGCAGATCTTTTCCAAGGGCTGTTTGCTTTGTCAATCTGGAGTGTGTTTCCCAAAAGCATCTACGGTCTCAACTTCCGTCATTACCAATAGAGTTCAATGGAACGTGTGACCATAGTTAGCTACGCCTGATCAGGCCAATTTAAACATTTAACTAGCATTCAATAAGAAATGCTTTCTAAATTAGAGATCAGAGGTTAAGCTTCAGATAAGTGTCCGCTAAATGCATAAATGTAAATATGTAGCACAAAAGTGCACTAGGCCAATCTCTGCTTGTGCGTACTTGGGAAATCTTACAAAAAATGACCAGAAATAAATTTATAACTTATTATAATTGGGAAGTTGCCTGATAAACATTTATAAAATAAAATCTAAAAATGCCATAAAAATGGTATTTTAATATATATCATGATATTAATATTATGATTACCATTCCTGTATCATAGTATTTACAAGATACTTCAACACTGAAAAAAATTATATCCTAACTCAGTATTTTTGTCTTGTTTTCCAGTACAAATATCTAAACTTTCCTTAAGATACTTACTTAAGATATTAAATCTTGTAAAAAAAAAAAAAAAAAAACTCTCAGCAGGGTAAGAAAAATAATCTTACATTCCCTTCGAATTAAGCATGTATATACATATATATATATTAGTGCTGTCAAAAGATTAATCGCATCCAAAAAAAAAGTTTTTCTTTAAATAATATATGTGTGTACTGTGTATATTTATTATGTATATATAAATACACACACATATAGTATATATTTTGAAAATATTTACATGTATATATTTATATTCGTATAATTTATATTATCAACATTTAACGTTTTTGCCTAAGAGACCAAAGTGACGTTAACGTTAATATAAGTTCATTTCTGAGTATCTCTCAAAAAATAAAAAAGTCACGATGTTTGTGAATTGGCATTTGATTTAAATTTGAAAGGAACTGAGAAGATTATTAACAAGGATATAAAAAATTGCCATTTTGAATTCAAAATAGGCCATTTGTGTGATTCAAGTAGATCCGATGAGTTTTTTGAAAACTCTTGCTACTTCATACTTAGTATAAAACAATGCTGAACTTTGACATGAAGTGATTTTTAAATGTTATAATAGTGATTTTATAATGTCTAAATATAAATCCGAAATCAAAACATGTGAAAAGAGCTATATTACGGAGTGGAAATTGTGATCATAGTGGGAATATCATGACATTAATTTCAATAGTGTTTGTATTTCTACCAGGTGGCAGAAATCTTCCACTTAAGCATGGCAAATTTTCCAT